TTCTGGACACTACCGATTTCTAAAACAGTGGATGCTATAAAATGATTTAGTACAAATAACTGCATGAATGGATGAAGAAATATTCACTGATTTTTTTTCCTCTTTGAAGACAAGATCCAGAGTTGGATGAACTCAGACATAACAGGTATTCTATGAGACTCTCAAACCTTGAACATACTCAGAAATGAATATTTCTGTAGGAGCATGGACAGTGTTTCAGTAGTGATCCTGTGACCATATACTGGAAGCATAGTGTGTCCTCATTAACACTGTACTTATTGTGTTAAATTCAATGGAGTAAATGAGGCATAGGTCTGTTTTGATCCTTGTGGCTCATATTGCTCTTCAGTAGAATGTTCTATTGTACACCAGCTGGAGCGCTTGCAAGCATTCGCCCAGGTATGCACACCAGGTGGAATGAACAAGAAATAATAGAGACCAACAGCATTTTGATCAGCAGGATTCGGATGGTGATCTCTTTTACCTCTTGTACCATTTTCAGTCATGAGTGTACACTTAGAGGGTGTAAATTTTAGGCAAACTGATTTTAAATGTGTATATTATCACTCAAGCCAATCATATTGTTTCAGATTCCTTGTTTCAGAGATCTTCAGCTTATCTGCAAAGGCTAAGTTTGAGAAATAAAAGCAAGAACTTTCCTTTGTATTTGTTAATAAGTCATGGAGAGACAATTTTTCTATTATCTCTGCCCATCAGCTTTCAGCACAAAAAATAAGGAAACATCTTTTTCCCAATGTCTTAACATATATGAAATATGGTTAACAAGTCCAATTATCAGATACAAATCCTTGATATGTTTTTCAAGATAGCATCCTTTTATTTTCAAGATTCTACATTGTTCTAATTAATTGCTTAATAGCCCAAAGAATCCCATGAATGCCCTTGGAGAAGTGTTGTCATCTAGCAAATTTGGGTTCTATTTTTGTTGAATGTTATAGATGAATAATTTCTTTTGTAATGAGTGCATATCAGTTTTACAAAACAATGAATTCCATCATAGTATCTTAACACATACACAATACTTTTAAATCCCACTTATCTCCATAATTCCCCACTCTGTACTACTTGATGTGCATCTCTTGCCTCAAACACTGGCCCCGCATTTTATTTTCATTTTTTTTTATCTAGATTTTGCTTGTGAGAGGATATATGCCATTTTTGTCTTTATTATTCTGGATTATTGTACCTAATATGATTGCCAGTTCCATCCATATTCAAGTGTAGGGTGTAATTTCATTCTTCTTTATGTCTGAAAAAATCCCCATTTTATTAATATACCAAATTTTCTTTATCCACCCATTCATCAGTGGACAGCCAATTTGAGTCTATGACTTAGCTATTGTGAATATTGTAACAAAGAACATTTTTTTCTGCAAGCATCAATATTCTACACTGATTTATTTGGACACAGTGGGATCATATTTTAGTTGTATTTTTAGTTTTTTTAATTAATTACATACCAACTTCTGCATTGGTTGCATTAATTTACATCGCCAGTAGTTGCATTGGCTCCCCTTTCCTAAATTCCTCACCAGTAATTATTGATATTTGTTTTGTAGATGATAGCCAGTCTCACTGAGATGAAACAATTTAAATTTGCATTTTTCCAATGACTAAAGATCATATTATAAACTATCAGTTTGACTGGAGTAAGAAATCCCCGAGGTGCTAGTGAAGCACACGTCTATGCGTATCTGTTAGTGGGCAAGTTTACCCTGAATGTTGGAAGTAACTTTGTCCAGATGGAAAAGAAAATGAAAAATGAAAATTTCAACTGGGTTCCAGAATTCCTATCTATCTACATACTAGCTCAATTACAATAAAACTGCCAGAGCTAAGAACCACTCTGCCACTTTGTCTTCCCTACAATGATAGACTTGTTCTGTCAAATCATGGAAAAAATGCATCCTCACTTTATTTGTTTATTTCTTTTTTAAAAATATATTTTATTGAATTTTGTGGATTTCATTCAATAAGTCTTAAACATATTTATCCCCCTTCCCTATCGGCAACCCCCCATAGCTTGCCCATAAGAATTCATGTGTGTTGTTAGATCTGGTAAGGCATATGATGTCATGTTTGTGTATCCATGTGTCCATTGTGAATTCATCTTCTGAATCCTTTTCAGTATGTCTAGCATCACTTTCTTACAGAAGATCAAGTCTTCCTAACCCAGCAGTTATCAGCTACCAATAGTTCCTCTCCAAAGTTGTATATTCTTTGAGAGATGCATTTGTATTCTCTCTACCCCTTGTTCCACTATGTTCTGAGACTTAAGTGTAGAGGTTCAGTTGTAGATAAGTCACTTAGGGTTGGGCATCTCAAAGACACATATTCTCTGTCTGAGGACAGCTGTGGAACTCTGTAATAGTTCTTCATCTGTTGCAAAAATAAAGCCTCTTTGATGAGTGGTTACTGGCAAACTTATGTTTGTTAGGGATGTGACAGACATAGGAATTTTTCTAGGCTCTATGACCTCTCCAAGTCACGTGGCAACATTTACAGTGCCACACATTAAATCAGCTTTAAGTCCAATTAGGTAAATATTGATTATCCCCAAGATAAAATTTCTAAGACTGTCACATCCCTAGACTAACGTAATTACTTGCTACGTGAAAAATATGTATCCTTGTATTTACAGACAAATATCACAGTCATCATTCATCAGACAAGCTTCTTTTACACCAGACAGAGGCTATTACCAGGTACCACAACTGCTCACACACAGACATTGTCTATAAAGTGCCCAGCCCTATGTGACACATCTACAATACAACCTCTACACATAAGGCTCATGGAACATAGAGCAGAGATAAAGAGGTCACTAATTAATCTCTCAGCTCTCATTAATAAAGCTCCCTCATTCAACAGAAGATCAGGAACAGAAAGGTCACAAATGGCCAAAACATAGAGATTAAAAGTCTGCAGAATGCTGGTACCTTGGACAGGACTCCTATTTAAACTTCACTCACACAGGTCTCAGAGACCATTGCAAAAGAGGTGGACTGAAAGACTGAAGAGCCAAGGACGAAGTGCACGACCGTATGGAAATAGAGTCCTAGAAGATACTGGGACCCTGCTCATATGAATCTACAGCAGTGGTGTCAGCATACACAAGTCCCATGCAAACTCAAGCAGACAAAATCCCAGCATAGAACTTGTTAGGGTTCCAAACAGCAGCAGCTTCCCCCCTCCTCAACAGGGACCTACAGACTTTGGAGTTTGAAAAAGGGAACTTAGCTGATAAGCACCTTGACCTTTGAAGTCAAGGGAAACAAACTCTGCTGAGAAGCAGCCTGCCTTTCCTCTGACCTCCAAAGATAAGATAAGCAGATTCTACCTGTTAACCAGAGATTTTAGAAGTTGTTTTTCTCTTATCTTAAGAGGGAAAAAGTAAACACTTCCAGACCCTAATCCTACCTGCTTTTCCTGCTTCCCCCTCCCTGATTTCTCCCTCAAACATTCCCCCTTCTACACCCTAAAGCCCCCATATATAAAGTCCCAGCTCACAGCCTGGGGGCTGACATCTTTCCCTGACATCTTTCCCTTCCCTTCCCTTCCCTGACATCTTTCCCTTCCCTTCCCTTCCCTCCTGACATCTTACATCTTTCCCTTCCCTGACATCTTTCCCTTCCCCTAGGGAAAGGTGCCTCGTGCGAAATAAAGCTATATCCCGCTGAGGATTCCATCTGTGCCTCGGTGCCTCCTCCATCCATCCGCGCCACCCTCTCTCTCTCCAACATTCCCACCTATCAGAACTGGGGCTGGGGAAATGGACATCAGACCCCAATCTTGGCTGAAGAAATACTGGCAACTGATTAGTGGTAGGTGAGGAAGTGCTGATCTTTCTAAAGCGAGGGACTTTAGATAAGCGGAGTAGATCTCAGTAGATGAACTTGCACTGAGGAATTTCTGGGAATGCTAACTTGACACAATAGGCCTTAAAACAAATGAGAGAATGTATGAATTCTGGGGAGTGGGGGGCTATGGGAGGGTGTCAGTGGGGATGGGACGATAATGATGATTAAGATTGAGATGCTCTTTATGAAACACACCAAAATTCAATAAAAACAAATTTTAAAAAATTGCTATTACCGTACCAACATAGTTTGCTGTGGTGGTCATTGTTGTGGATATGAGACTTTAAAGCTGGGATTGAACCACTGATTTCCTTTGTATCTTAGTATCTTACATAGGGCCCATCATTATTGTGGTTATTAGACTTTAAAGATGGGATTAAACCATGGGTTGCTGTTGTACCTTAGCAGCTTGCATAGGGTCCTCCAAAACTATGAGATTTACTCTAAAGACAGGCTTCCAGATAAGTTCTGGCTTGATTGCAACAAGGCCTATATGTACCAAATATATCCTGTCTTCAGCAATTGGATCTTGAGTTCAATTTCTGAGAGATAATCAAGATATTACAATAGTCTTTGTAATTTTGGGGACTCTTTTGAACTACACTGACCAGCAAATTGAAGAGAGATTTCTCCTGTCTGACACTGGATTCTTGTTCTCTAGTCTTCAGATCTACACATTCTCTCATGTACAGATATTGCATATGTATTTTCCTCTAGGTTTTTGAATTAATGCATTTCTAGTTTTTCACAATAGTAATCATAATTTATCTCACTTCTCTCTCTCCCTGTCTAATACTCCCTCCTCTTCCACAGGTGATATACCCCCATTTTCCCCATTTCACTCTGTATAGTACCTTTATCTTGTTTTCCCTTCTCTCTTGAGTCCCTTTGTCTCCTTTACCTCTATGACTCCTGGTATAAACTCCCCTCTCCTACTCCCAGTTAAATACCACCAGTTTACCTATTTCACATTTGGTAAAATCTGTCTCCTACTATCCTTCTCTCAGGACCCTTCTTTCTTTTACATCTATGGTCTTTCCAATTTCCTAGCTCCTGCAGTTATATTAGGATTTATACTAATATATAAGGAATTGGTGTTAAGGTCCACAAATGACCACCCCCCTTTTCAAAGAGCTCAATGGGCCTTTTGCTAGTGATCCACTGAGCCATCAAGAAGGGGCACAGTAAAAACACTGCTTTTGGGTGAAATAGCAAGTGGTATGGTTTTACTTCAATGGGAGTTGTGACAAGAAAAAAAAAAGATCCACAGATGAGGGAGAACATACGCCATTTGTTTTCCTGAATCTGTATTACTTCAATTAACAGTTTCTAATTCCATCCATTTATTTGCAAAATTCATTATTTCATCTTTCTTTACCCATGAGTAAAACTTCCTTGTGTAATGTCCCACATTTTAATAATCAGTTGATCAGTTGAAGGACACATAGGTTACTTCTATTCTTAGGTATTGTGAAGGGAGCAGAAACAGACATAAATGTGCAAGTATCACTGCAGTAGGATGAGTCATACTCCCAAAGACTGGTATAACCAGATCATATAATAGATTCATTTTAGTTTTTAAAGAGTTCTCCACTTTGCTTACCATAGTGGGTGGATGAGTTTGCAATGCCACCCACAGTGGATGAGTGTTCCCTTTCCCCACATCCTCACCACCATTTGCTATCATTTGTTCTCTTAGCCAGTCTGACTGTCGTAAGATGAAATATTAAAGTGGTTTTGATTTGCATTTCCCTAACTACTAAGAATGTTGAACAATTTTTAACATATTTCTTAGCCATTTTTTCTTCCTATTGAGAATTCCCTATTCAGATTTATAACCCATTGTTTAATTGGGTCATTTGTCTTTTGGTTCTTTGTTTTTTCCTTTTTTTTTCCTTTTGTATGCATTTTCTGGATATTAATCCTCTGTAAAATGTGTAGTTGGTAAAGAGTTTCTTCCACTTTGTGGGTTCCTTGTTCACTTTTTTGGTTGTTTCATTTTTTGTACAGGAGCTTTTTTGTATAATGAGGTCCCACTTGTTAATTATTGACTTTAATTCCTGAGCAACTGATGTCCAATTGAGAAAGACCTTTCCTGTACATATATTGTAGTATACTGTATATGTTTTTCTAACAGTTTCAGAATTTTAGGTTTCACACTGAGGTCTTCGATCCATTTGGAGATCACTTTTGGGCAGAGTGATATATAAATGTTTAATTTCATTCTTAAACAGGTGTAGAATTAGTTTTGCTAGCACTATTTGTTGAATGTGTTGTTTTTCTTCCAGTATGTGTTCTTGGCAACTTTGTCAAATATCAGGTGTCTGAAATTGCATGCACTTGTGTTTGGGTCTTCAATTATGTTCCATTGATCTGTCTGTTTTGTGTCAGTATCATGCTGTTTTATGACTATAGTTCTGTAATATAATTTGAGATCTGGTATGGTAAGAACCCTAGCATTGCTCTTTATGCTCAGGATTGCTTTGCCTATCCAGAGTTTTTTAGGATTCCATAAAAATTTTAATATTTTTTTCTAATTCTGTGAAGAATATCATCAAGATTTTGATTAGCTGTGTATTGAATCTATATATTGCTTTTGGTAGGATGGTCATTGTCATAATATTAATCCTACCAATTCATGAATATAAGAGGTTTTTTCAGCTCCTGATGTCTTACTCAATCTCTTTCTTCAAGATTTAAAATTTTCATTGCAGATATCTGTAATGTCTTTGGTTAAGCTTATTCCTTGATTGTTTTTGAAACTACTGTGAGTTGGAAGGTTTCCATAAACTTTCTCTGATTACTTGTTATCTGTACTTAGAGAGACTACAGATTTTTGTAAATTGATTTTGTAACCTGTCACTTTGCTGAAAGCAATGATCTCTGATAGGAGTCTTCTATTAGAATTTATGAAATCTCTTATCTATGAGATCATATCATCTGCAAGTTGGGATAATTTGAACTATTATATTTAGGACTACTTTAATTTCCTTCTTTTTTATTGCTCTAGCAAAAATTTCAAGCACTGTATTTAAAATGATTGGGGCTCAAGGACAGCGTTGTTTGGTTCCTGATTTTAATGTGAATACTGCCAATTTTTCTCCATGTAGAATTATGTTGGTCATGGATTTGTAGTACACAGAACTAAGGTTTTCCCCTCCAGTCCATTTCCCTCTAGGACTTTCAACATAAATGCATGATGGATTTTTGTCAAATGTGTTTTCTGCATCTATTTAAATGACCATGGGATTTTTGTCTTTAAGTCCATTTATATAGTTTGTTACATTTATTGCCTTATGTATGTTAAACCATCCCTGCATCTCTGGAATAAAGCCTACTTGATTGTGGTGGATGATCTTTTTGTTCTGTGTCTGCATGCTGGTTGTGAGCATTTTGATGAGAATTTTTGAATCTATGTTCAATAAGGATATGGGTTTTCTTTCTGGTTGTGTCTTTAACTGGTTTTTCATATTAGAGAAGGAGTTTCATAGGAGTTTGGGAGTTCTCTCTCTGTTTCTATGTGTTTGAGTAATGTAGGATGTAGTCTGTGCTGGCCATTGATGTGGTTATTTGGTCTTGAAGTTGGCATTGGACCATTCATTCATGTTTCCCCTGGCACCTTCATAGACCTCTCAAAGCTTTGGTCATTTCCCGTGTATTTAGAAACTCATCCACTTCTTAACGTTTTCAAGTTTCACAGAGTATAGATTTTTAAAGTATACACTTATTGTGTTCTGGATCTTTTTGCTGACAGTTTTGATATTTCCCCTTTCATCGCTGATTTTGTTAATTTGGGTTTACTCTTTATTTCTTTTGGTTAACTGAATTAACATTCTGTATTTCTTGTTCATCTATTAAAAGTCCCAGTTTCTGAATTCGTTGATTCTTTGTATTTTGTCTGTGCTTCTATTTCATTAATTTGTGGTATGATTTTTATTATTTATTCTCATCTTCTGAGTTTGGGTTTCATTTATTCTTGCTTTATCATAATCTTGAGTTGTACAGCTAGATCATTCATTTTTGCTCTTTCTGATTTTTTGATGTAGGCGCTCAGAGCTTTTTACTTCACTCTTAGGATTGCATTTAAAGTATTCCAGATATTTTAAAAAATTATTTAATAACTATATAATTATAAGAAGCACTTCATTACAACAGCATTGACATACTCAGTGACAATTTCCAGAGCTAAGATGCATTGTCATGGTGCAGTGACGACAAACCAAGCCTGAAGGGCTTGGGGACCTCAACGGATAGAAATCAGGATGCAGGGAATGCAGAGGTCTATGTGCCAGTGCCTCTTTATTGTGAACTAAAGCAAGCTTATATAGGAAGCAGATCTGGAGTAACCAAGGAATAACTAAGGATACATCACTAAACAGAAAGTAACCAAGGAATAACCAAGGATACATTATGTTAATACCAAGAATACAT